TTTTATGATTTAAAAAAAATAACACACTCAGTAAGAATTCATTTTTTTTTTTTTGTTCTATTTTAATAGAATAGGCAAATGTGCAGGACCCTTTCCCTAGTTTATTGCTTGCATGGTTTTGAATATAATTTTATTACTTTACATGAGATGAAATTTAATCCTCCTTTATGAGTAATACCAATATCAAATTGCTTCATGCTTTGGACTCCAAGCATTATATTCAATACTGCATTACATGTTAAGTATGAGTTCCATATATAATCATGATAATTAATGAGACATATTAAGAAAAGGTATATAATGTGTCAAATAGACTATTTGAACTTATAAACTATGACTTACTCCAATAAATGCTACCAAATTTCAATTGCTTGGAAAGAACATATTGCTCTACTCTTCACAAACATAGAAAAAAATGCCTTCTCTCCCAAGTCAGTAAAGATTTGCAGTGACAAGGTCCTGGACAGGTTATATGTACCTACCTTAGGAATTCTGTTTCCATGAGCCGGTGCCATGGGCCATGACCTTCTATACAGAGGGTTGTGAACATTCTTATGGGCCCTTCGCTTTACTTCTACACTGCTGGGCAACATGTTTAAGGTTTCTCTGCCATCCACAAAAAAAAGTCACCGAGCAGTCAAACTACAACATTATTCCTACATCACTCTCTCCCCTTCACACCATTACAAACCTCCCCATCTATTGACAGCTGAATCCATAAACATATAAAGAATAACACGCTGAAGAGTGGCTTTGTCAATCATATAAAAGCTTAAAACCTGTGAAAAAACATTAGCAGCTCCTCAGTAATACATTAATGAAAGGCATGGACACTTTATCCTTATTGTCGAGTCATGAATCGCTCTCTGACTTGCGGACCCACGTAACCGAGCCAAAGCAAGCGTTTCACTACCTTTTGAAATCAGTTTTTGTAATTGGCTCACTGGTGACAATGCTCATAAGCTCAGACCATGTGACACGGTGTAAAACCAATAAATGCAATTGATTTATCTCCACTAAATCCATGTCTGTCATGGTATCCTCGATTTACCCTGACCCAGGCATTGATGAGCTGGGTTTTGACCCTCGTTGAATAGGCACTTAATCTTCACAGGTAAACACACATCTTGGGTTCCTCTATTCGCTAATTAATCTCGAGTTAATTATAAAAAGTCCAGGCCTTGTATCAACAAAAAATCAATAGTTTGCTTTCAGTTGTTTTATACCCAGGTAACAGAACACTTGCCAAGAATGTAAGGCAGACATTTGAAATAAATCTCAAGCACTGGGACAAAAAAATCAACAGTAGGAAAATTATTGAATATTCAAGTGTCTAAGGACTAGTTGGAAGGCGTTTCCCGTCAACTACGCCTGGAATACGTAAGGTATTTCTATGTCAGCAGATGCGCATATTTATTCGCATTGCTGATTTTCATAAATGAATCAATTATTTCAATAAAAAAATATTACTCGTCACAGCTTGAAGCACTTCTTAAGGAAACAAATCCCACAGATTATATACTTAGAGGAAAACTGTGAGGGAAATATCACAAAACCACATGTTGTCCTTATACAGTAGAGAGTTTGGACATCAGCGCTTTGCCGACAGTCTGAATTTAACCGCAAGAAGCACTGCAGTGTAAATCATTTTAAAAATAAATTTCACACATCGAGTTGTTCCCCAGTCATTAAATGTGTCATGCTTCACTGATTGTACCAAAGCAGTCTTTCTTTTCCTTTTTTGCAATAAAAGATCAAAAGCCGGTTATGAAAAATTCACAGCAATTTTATGACCTTGTATGCATAAAATTTCTAAACCAAATATCTTTTTTTTTAAAAATCCCCACTCCTGTTTTGGGACGATCAAGGCTGCCAGCATGTGAATTCTGAACGTATTTCTTGAAGGAAATTCAAATAAAATAATTCCAATGACATTAAATTCTTGATAAAGCAAGATCATTACATCCTGTCAAAACAAAGACTGCACTACTGATGTAAGGTTAGATGCTAGAGTGTGTAATACCAATGAGAAAGACAAGATTTAGTTTAAATAAGCCTTCAAGTTCATTCAGGTCATCAAAAAAACTGTATTCAGAATATGAGGGATCTGATTTCCCCTTGTAAAATACCCCTTTTGTTGACTTTAAAGCAAAAGCAAATAAAAAACACATTTTGAAAAAGGAGAGTGGATTTCATATTGCTGAAAAATGGGGACTTTATCTTTGCCTACAACCTACTGTACAAAGAACATAAATTTCAAAGAAATGAATACTTGGAACTCATTTCAGTTTACTCTGTCACATTATTCAAAACTTGAGCATTTGATGAATATACCTTAGGTTCAAGGGAACTTCCCTTTGGCTGCAAACCAGGAAACCTCACAATTTTTTTTATTAATTATCATTAATTGCTCTCTAAATGAGAAGACAAATCTTGATATCTTTTCCTTTAATTTTATACAGCGTTATATATCCTTGTCAAGCAACCATTTTGGAACTTACCTTTTTAATTGGCAGCCACTTGGCAATTTCAGACAGTTCCGAAGTATCCCCGCTAGGAACTAAAGATGGCCTACTACTAGGATTAGCGGGAGGCTGAATAATATTAGCCAAGATGAGTTTTGAGATGGTGCCATATCCCGAGTCCTTGGACCCTCTTCTGCTGAGACTGTCTGTGAACATCTCAATGGAATGCAAATTTTCTTTTCTAATTAACTATACAGGTGCAATTCATAGAATTTTTCAACATAGAGAATTGACAACACTACATGTATATGCAATTAATTTTCCACCTTTACACGACCAAATCTCGTGTCAAGTCCCACAAAAGTCCAAAGAAACTCAGGTAAATATAATATCAGTTAGCACAAACAGCCAGCTGTCAAAGTTATCTTTTGATATGTATTTCACAGCACTCTTCATCAAACAACGATCCACATCAATAATGTACACAAAAAGGCCTTAACAGCATACAGTTACTCAAGCACACCTGAGAATCTGATAACTTCATTACCAGCTATTGTAATTTCAGAGGTGTCTATTGGTCTCATTTAGCCCCATATAGCTGAAATGGCATCCATCATCATGAAATTCATAAAGTACGGAATGAAGCTACAAGTCCCATAGACTTACATAAGCAACTTGTTATATTCCATTTTGGGGGAATTCTGGAGATCAATGCAATGTAATTGAGGAACTGCTTGAATCCCCTATTTGCTGATTGAGGTGTCACCGCTCATATCCGTCGGATGGACTGTAAGATCTACTTAGCCGTCAGAGACACATACTTAAATCACAATCGCTGTCAATTCCTAATTACGGATGTCGCTTCTGCTATGAATTTCTTCACCAAGTCAACAAATTTGGAAATCTATTCCTGTCTGCTTCAATCAAAATTCACGGCAAATTTATGCAGTTCCAGCATGTCTGCTTAAAATATGAGGAATGGCACGCCCCAATTATTACGATATAAAAATCACTTGAACAAATCTACCAAGGAATAAATCCTTTACATGTATACCATAGGAATTTTCACTAAATATGTTAACAGCTTATTTACGAATTTTTAAAAACCCGGATATGCCTTATTAATCACACAATCCATTTTGCGTATTGAGGCAAGGAATGTTCCCCTGTTGTGACTTTTTATTTCGCGCATTCCGACGCTATCTAATTACAAATTACAATAACACAGTTCTTGTCACAAAAACTTCTTCATTATATCCTCAACAACAACAACAACAGAAAAAAAATCCCAATTACAAAAGATTCTTGGATCATCCGAAACCGAAACTCCCAACACATCAGATGACACAGAAAATATTCCACAAAATAAACCTGTATAAAACTTAGTTCATCACAAAGGGAATTTTGTAAACTGAACAACAGTATTTATCATTTCACACCACCATATCCTTAAGGCATCCTTTACTCAAATGCAAAATTAAGATGTACGACAAACCTAACATTTAGACTTCACACATAAAAAGAGCATTAAACCTGAGTTAATTTATATCTTGTAGTAATATTAATGATTCCTGGATTACAATGGTTGTCTAATAATCCCAAGCTGTGATTAGTTTGCTTGGTCAATCAACCTCCAGGTATTTGACATGCTGAGTTCATCAATAAAAAGTAATTTTTTTTTCTCAATATAAAAATTGTGTCCTATTTTCAGAACTTGCAAGATCTATAGTGTCATATATCCTAACAGTACAAATGCCACAGTTTTGAAAGGTACGCACAAACTGAACTTAAGGTGATTTTTTCTTAGAAAATGTTTCTGCACAAACCCATGTATCTGAGAATAAATGAAGAAAAAGGTTTTCTTTTTCCATTTTACATGTGCATGACTGTCACAGTAAAATACACACAATTTCTATTAATCTAACATTTTTATCAATTATCACCTATTTTCTATTAGCAAGTTTATCGACTCTCTTTTAAGTCTAACATGCACTACTATGGCCTTAATTTTTATTATTATTTGTAGGAATTAAGAACATCTGACCAAAAGACAATGGATAAGAGAAGAGTGGTCTTTTTTTGATAAATTATCAAAATAAAATCCAGTGATCATATGTGTAATGATATCAGTATCTATTTAATACTTAATATTAACAAACTGTGCCATACAAATGAACAATTTTTATTTGTCAGTAAAATAAAATGCACTTTAATTAAACGAGGAAAAAGTAAGAATCTTTTAAAAAAATCTTAATTTAATTGCTAATTATAAGAAGCATTGTTTGGTCCACTTTGGTCCCAAGTAAAAGAAACGACTGAGGAGGGAGGTCAAGGCAAATTTTTTCTCTTCTTCCCATTTTCAAAAATCAAAACAAATAGAGCAGTTCATGCAAATCAACTTATTAATAAATTGATAACTATTTTTTCAACTTAAATGCATTCTCCCCCTTAAATGTTTGGATCTACACCCGATTAAAGGTTATTTTTTACCTTTAACTTGGTTTTTATACTTTAAGGATTTTATCTGAACATTACCTTGGAGCCGGCTGGACTGAATAGGTTGGTGAGTTTGCTGCGATCTTTGATTCTGCGACCCTCGTTGAAGGAGATGGTTCCTTGTGGACTGACGGAGGAAGAGAGGGTTTGTGGGATAGGCGTCATGTCGTCAATGGAGAGATTAATTCCCCGGCGACTTCGCAGGCTTCCCACCTACAGTAAATTACACTCAACTTATTTCAACCAAAAACAAAATAAAATTTGTAAACGATTTGATCATGTTAATGTGTTTCTAACACTAAGACTTCTAATGTTACAGCTAAATACTGTGACAGCATTTGAATGAAATTAATATCCACAATTAGAAATGAAAGACAAACTTTTATTTTTTGTTATGAGTGACTATATATTATTAATTGTAAAACGGTTCAACATTGCAAACTACATGTATATATATATATATAAAGTAAAACAGAAGGAACTCTCGACAGTTTATACATTGGTGAATACACTTTATACAGTAAAACATGATTCTTTATAGTCTAATAAGTAATGTATTCTAGCTTTAAGTAAAATTATCACATTGTAGTGGCTCATTTGCTCATTTTAACTTAAATTTTTTTGCTCATTTTAACTTAAAATTTTGAAATGAGCATATATTTTTGTCTCGCATAGCCCTCTTTGAACATGTTTTACTATATAATCTTCATACAGTATGTCTTTTATATATATGGTACTTATATAATATAAAAAAGAGTGTATATGCACATATTTATACACTGTACATCAATATATGCAAATAATAAAATATAGGTCAGAATAATACACCAAATAAAGACACAAAGAAATCCACATTATATGCATATCAACATCAAACCCCATTTTATCTAATCTTGTTCTACCAATGTTCTACAGCACTGCTGACAAGTTCTAGTACTGTCTAACATAGAATTATACAACTCTCTTTATTTTAAATATCTAGCCTATATTCCACTTTACCTAGGGGTGCATGATTCAGTTATTATAAAACATTTTGAGTTATTACGCAGTTGACATATCAATACAGGTGTATCTAGGCAGAATAACTTAAAAGGAGGGTCACCCATATATCTGTGAAATTAAGGGACGTTTCAAAATTTAATGGGTCAGTACATGAAAATGATCAATTACAATGGACAATGTTAAAGGAATATTGCATTAAAGAAGATAAGTAAGGCTAAACTACTTGAGATTTTTAAATTAATAATTAATCCTAACTGGTGTTAATTTGAGTTCTACAGGTTAGATGGTGCAGACATGAAGCCAAGCCAAAGCATGAAGCATGACTGCCACGGCAGCGCAGATCAGCATAAGCTATTGCTTTTAGGAGCATAAACAGTGCAGCGCAACGCATAAATGGTTATGAGAAAGCAGCCAGATAACACATGCAAGAAATTGCTTGAACATAAATAATTAAAGTAGCTTTATTTTTGCATCAGACCGACTTAGATTTTGGCTTTTATTGATAAAGAAAACCGACACCATATAAAGAAAATACAAAAAATCAAATTTTTATTTAAGATATTAAAATTAATAACATTTACTTTTAAATTACTTTATAAGATGTTACATGAACTTTCTCTCTCTCTCTCTCTCTCTCTTCCTCTCTCATTCCAATTTCCTTACAACTAATAGTTCAAAGCACCATACACACAATACACTTCAACAATCTAACAATCATTTCTGATTAATCAGCATAAAAGTGTTTTTAGTCACTGATAATAAAACCTATTATGCAAAGTCACAAGCACAAAAATTCAATACACATACTTTTTTTTACTAGAAAAATTAATTATTTTGCTTGAAAAAAAGAAGCTATTTTTCAGTGAGTTATGATACTGAGAAAAGGGGAATAATTCAAAAAAGCTTTACTGTATAAGCATATTTCAGATATCAATCATGCTGGGTACTATACACTCATTAAATCAATCTGATGCAAAATATCGGAATAAATAGTTGTCAAAGCGGCACATGCATTACCATGACAACTGGACTTACGGACTGATTATCGTCAAGCAACCTTGGCCCTTCACCCTGTTTGGGTGCGGGGTGAGAAAAAAATGGAATAGACAGGGAATTTCTACGTTGTTTTACCGATGGTGGTTCTACAACTGGAGGCACCCGCCCGAAGAGCGATTCTCGTCGTCCCATCTGTTTGGTAACCAAGGAAACAAGAAATTGACAAAGACATGATATATACATAAGTACAAAGCTCACAGAGAGAACACACAGCTTTGCTTCATAATTATCAGTGTTAGTGCTTTGCTGCTTTTTTTGATGCTGCATATTAATTGTTTTAAAGTTTGCTCAAACCTCGCTCGATAACAATGCTGTTCAGCAAATTAATTAATTTCATATATGGGTGACTGTATCTATAATTTTCAAACATTGGTTATTGTTGTCAGTTTCAGTAAACATAATTAAATTCATAACTTTTAAAACTTCAAATGAATGCATGCAGAATTGAAACTCAAAATGAGGAGAACAAAAATCAAAGATCTATAAAAAAGATGAATTTTTTTAAGGAGCAAAAATTAAAAGAAAAACTGTAAAAAATTTTTTTTACAGTTCAACTCTGGGGAAACACAAAAATAATTAAGCCTCATGCCATCAGCTGGAAAAATGCCAAGGTTAAAATCAATTGCTAACATGCATTTACCTTCGTGTGCTAATTATATACAGACAAACAAACCAACATGCAGGCCCACATGCGAAATAGGGTTGCTACAAACAACATGCCTTCCAAATAGGGTCAGACTTTCAAATCAGTATCTTAAAATTATGGGAAATCTAAGTGGTTAAATTGATAATGTACATTTTAGCTAATTTAATTTAATAAACAAAAAATCATGAAGGATTAATTTCTAACTTGATGGTCTTTTATTTTCCCAATAAAATGCTGTGATGAAAACTGGATTTGGGGTTCAATGTTATGATATACCATCTACCTTTTATTTATGTCAATATACTAATATTTAGAACACCCACTGATGCAACATTTACTATATACAAACACCTAGACACTTTGACATTTAAGTACAATATTAACATTTTCCCTGTGATTAATTTACCCTTAAAATGGATTCCCGTCTCTACAAGGGTAGGTAAAACAAATATTTATTTCTGTAAATAAAGTTCAACGAAGATATTGGCTTTCTTATGGTTTATCGGCTTACTTTATTAATTACAAAGTGTTAACTGTGGTCACCATTGACAGGGGCAATTCTCCTGAATTCTTTCAAAAATTTAAGAATCTTTTTAGTGTTTAATGTTTTTAGAGCTTTGGAAAATACATATAATGAAAAATATGATTTTAATTTATTTTTTAAATGCTTTTTTACTTATACTTCAATAAATGATAAAGTTAATTTATAAAAATACATATGCACACTTTACTAACATGCAAAATTTAAAATAAAATGTAAAATGAAAATAATAAAAAAAATAAAACAAAAACCCCAAATACGTAGATCTGGTATACTAGTATATGGATTCACCTAAAAACATTCCAACAAAATAAAAAAAAAATACAAATGTATTATCCCTTAACCAATATGCAAGAAGACCAAAAATGAAATTTTCCAAAGAATTAAATATTATGACACTGCAAAAAGAGGGAGATAATTCTCAGCCTGTTTTATTATAATACGTACCCCTGAGTTCTTTTTACTGTTTTTGGAGCCACTATTTGGTCGCTTGCCTGTTCCTCCCTCAAAATCTTTCTCTACAAATAAATCAATAAAATATTTAATATCTGAAAATTGAAAATTAAATTTATTTTGCATGCTATATTTAAAATACATTTGAGTTTAAAGGAAATTTATTCAAATTGACTTTGATAGACTAGTTTGACCCCCCACCCCCAATAATTTATTTAGTGCATTTATTTTATTCAATTGTAATTGAAATATAATTTTTACTTAATTGCAAAATAAATTCAATTCACAAAATGCAAAATCTTGCAAATATAGCATGTTTATATATAGATTTTACATAATCACTTCATAAATTATTGATGAGAAAACCTTAGAAGTTACACAATGAGGATCCATACATCGTACTCCCCTTCAAGCATAACATGAAATAAAGAGGAGATACACAGATAATGCTCAATCAAAGCTCCTGGTCTTTGATGCCAAGTGATTTTCTCTAGCTATTCTCTATCAATCTAAAATCTGCTGAATCAGGAGTGAAATGCATCAATAAAAAAATCTCAGTATAGATATGTATTCTGACTGAAACCTTTCTGGTATATAACCCCATCAGACAAATGAAGGCTAAGTTTTATGGGTGTTCTTTTGTGATGAATTGTACTATATAGTACATAAAATGTCCTATTAGCACAAGGTGACAATGGAAACTATTTACATCCACAAGATATACTGAACAAACTTCAATGTTAGGCCAGTGCAAAAGACTGTAAATAACTGGATTTTTAATTGGGGCTTTTTTTCCTCCTGCTGAATTATCTTTTTAATCTAGGGGGTTACATCTAACGAAAATAATTTATAAAAGATTGGAATTGGCTGATTTTAGGTCTATGACCTGCAGTTGCTGATGCTTTCAAGCTAATCTTTCCTTTAACACATTAACTTTACACTTAGTATGGGAGATACAGTCTTTGATCATCTCCACTAAATATAATTTGATTGATTAACCATTTCTTTGACTACAGATAGATTTTTAACAGCATCAAAATGAAATATACATGTATATATAAGTATTTTAAACTGAAGGTAAATAATCTCCATGACAACATTAAGAGCACCTGCAATGCTAAAATTGCTTAATGTCAACAAATACGCAGCCAAATTAATTTTCTCAATAGACTCCCAAACACATCTTTCGAAAGTAATCTTAATTGGACTCATAAAAAAACAGATTCTATAAAAAACTGTGAAGGTCATTTTCTTTAAAGAGATTTGATTTTAAATTTTCACCTGCACGTTCACCTATAGAGCAGGTGTAAGTAAATCAAAAACATTTAAACTTTGAATTTTTTCACCATACATTTTCCCCCGTTATAATAATCTGTAAGTCCAACAAAAAAACATAATCTTCTTTCTCCCAATGATTCTTACCACAAACTGATCTTCGACGGAATCCGAATGCCATGTTACAACTTTCACAGTTTAAGTGGAATTAAATCCTCTTTCTCAAAGCAAAAAAAAATGTCAACATTTTCAAGATGTAGAGTCCTTTGTATTTTTCCAACTATCTAAGGTTTGCAAGATATAGTGTTGATTTGTTCAGGTAAATGTAAAGTCTCCATATCTAAATAGCCTTATCATATTTGAAGAAGGTGACGATCCAAAATCTTCACGTGTGCCGATATCTTACAGAAACAACTAAGTCTACACGATTCACCTTCCTCCAGAGGAAAAAGATTTAAAAACCCAAATATCCACTATCAATAAATTTTAAAATTATTGCAGATCTGTACGGTCTTCACCATATGTTCATCTAAAATTGACGATCTTCTCAGCAGGAAACCATACATAATATAGAAATGCTGAAGATCATTTCAGGCTCAAAATCTCATCTTTATATCCATGTAAATTAACTTATATGCCTCCAATAATGAAGCAAACAGAAGTTCAAGGGCAGTTCTTTTTATGAATAGCTGATTGGAAATCTCGTTTTTATGTTCAGGTTCTACACAATACAACTCAATAAGCCTAATACTTCAAATTTAATATTTTTTCCCATTCACTTTGGAATATCAAAGACTTGTCTGCTCGTCCTGAAGTTCCTTTTCAAAAGAAGAAAAATCTCTGATCTTACACATCACTGCATTGCAAGCATTAACCTTTGCAATCTATTTATACTGGTTATGTATAAATACTCAAAGGACACCGTGCACTGTCAACATTTTCTTGCCAAGTCAAAAAACTTTACAAACTTTTCAAATAGTCATCCATCATTGAATATACTCATGAAATAGACAAATAAGGCTCAAACCACACAAAGCCTCATATCCACCTACTCTCCTCTCTGAAAGCACTTCACAATTAAATGGATTTTAATTTATTTTTTCCTCAATAACTGATTGCAGGCCCCCTGTTGCTGCAGTTTAAACTGTTGGTTGGGTCCCGGTGAAAAAGGCAGAGAACCTAAGACTCAGCACATTTTCTATCGCAGTGAAGATTCTGAAGGCTATACACAGCCTTGATAACTTTCAGGGTCGAATATCATTCGCCATTCAGGGTCCCCGGCACCTCCGCCCTCTGTGATTGGTCGATAATCCCCCACGAATCGTCTCTTATCGCCAAACACTGACCACAGTTTACCTACAAAGCCCTATGTTTGTTTGACAACTACATACCAAATTTTCTGGACAGCTTTCAAAGGTGGACATAAAATATTCTAATTTAATTTCATTCCTTTTAAATTTTCTGTGTTTAAAGCTGATAATCTTTGGTGTTAACTGCTTACGAAAGCAGAAGAATGGCAATTAATGCTGGTCTAACAATCACTTGTCAAAAAGAACACAGAAACACCTGAGCATTACTCCTGGTTCACAGAAATCCTGGAAAAAAGGTACTGCAGGTAAATTAGTATATCCATAGTTCAAAAATGAATTCTGAAGAGCTGTTGGCCAGTATTTGTTTTTTATTCTGAATCCTGGCAAGCATACAACAGCTGAGAGAGCCAAGAGAGAAATGAGAAAACTAGACTGTAGTCACACATGGTATGAACACTTCATCAATATTGACTTCGCATAAAGTGTGAAGTGATAATTCGAATAAAATGAAAGTGTTTTTCATGAATTCAATTCAAATCCTTTGATCATGCATGCACACCTCACACAGGAGCTGTTCAGTGTAGTTTTTATTACTATGTAGTCCCCTTTTGAACTTTGGGTTAGAAATTGGCAGATTAATTTACAGACATTGTTTTCTCTATTACAAACAGCTTTCTAATACCCAAGTTTTCTTAAAAACACCCAATATTTCCCTCCATGATTGATCCCTGTGTATCTTGGTAGGTTGGGTGGATGTCTTACTTAATAACACATTGGGCCAATCAGCAGTTATAACTTTGTAATTACAAGATGTTTGGGCACACACAATGTCGGAATGTGGGACCTATAAGGATCTCTTATCAGCGGGGCCCACAGGTTATTGATGCAATCATTGTAGGTTAACTAAACTCATGTGCTACCAGCTTGTACGGCATAGTCCCTTCGCTAGGAGACCTAACATAGCCTCAATATTTGGAGACCATTTTATAAAGCAAAAAAAAAAAAGAAACCCTGGTTGTTGTTTTGAGTGCAAGTGCACTTTGATCATGGTAAAGCGGAAGACACATTTTTCTCTATCCAACTGCTAAATTGGCTATCCAGTGATCTGAATGATTAATTAATTATGTTCCCCAAACGGAGTTTGGGAACATATTGATTTTACTCGGTTTCTTATTATTATTATTATTATTATTATTCTTTTTTTTCTTCTTTGTTCTCCGGTACTTTTTTTGTCCGCGAGTGTTCTCAGAAACTGTTCACCCAACTGAGCTAAAACCTTTTTAGGGTTAATAGGTGTGTAGTGTAGGTGTGCGGAACGAAGGTCATTTTGCGCGCATTCGCATGCACGTGCGTGCGCGTGAAGTGAGTGAAATGACTGATATACTTAATATGGCCATAACTTTTACATTTTTTGATGAAATGCTTTGAAACTTATTATATATGGATATATTAATGGTGTTAATAAAGTGACACTGTCAAATTAGCACGAACTCACGCGCATGCACGTGCGCTTCGCTCTGAATGGCTGAAACAAAAACCTCAATATCTTTTCTGTTTTTTGACGAAATGCTATGAAATTTAAAATATAGGTTTACTTTAGTATGTCCTACAATATGATATATAGCAATTATCATGTAAACACGCGCATGCACGTGCACTGCAATCTGATCGGCTTAAACTTTAAATGGCTATAACTCCCTTGTTTTTCAACCAGACAGTATGGGATTTAGAACGTAGACAGACATAATGGACCCCTATAAGGAGGTATGGTTTTCATGTACATGCATGCACGTGCATGCTCGTGTGCTTTCCTGTGATTGGCTGAAACAAAAATCGCAATATCTTTTTTAATTTTTGACGAAATGCTTTGAAATTTTAGACATAGTCATGCATTAGGATGTCCTACAATATGAAATATATCAGTTGTGATGAAAACATGCGTATGCACGTGCGCTGCAATCTGATTGGCTTAAACTTAAAATGGTTATAACTTCCTTGTTTTTCAACCAAAGAGGATGGGATTTATAACATAGACAGACATAATAGACTCCAACAAGATGGTATGGTCCTCATGCACGTGCGTGCACTTGTGCTTCACTCTGATTGGCTGAAACAAAGATCTCAATATCTTTTCAGTTTTTTGACGAAATGCTACGAAATTTAGAACAACGGCATACTTTAGGATGTCCTACAATATGATATTTTAAAAATGTCATTAAATCACGCGCATGTACGTGCGCTGCAATCTAATTGGCTTAAACTTTAAATGTTTACAACTCCCTTGGTTTTCAACCAAACAGGATGGTATCTAGAATAAAGATAGACATAATGGACTCCTACAAGATGGCGTAGTCATCATGCACATGCTTGCACGTGCGTGCACGTGAAATCAGTAAAATTAAAAATACGCTTGAATGAGTGTATTTTTTAATACGTTTGGATTAAATGCTTTGATATTAAGTATATTTGAATATATATAC